TATGAATTGTAGCACAAATAATTATGGGTGCTCTCAGCCTGTGACACCCCTGCACCATCACCTGCATTGATTTAAGGAAAGCGCTTCCCGCCCCGTGGCTGCCACCCGTGCCTTGAAGATGACATTGTACACTATCTCTATCTGAGAATATACAAGCCTAACCAGAGTTAATAATGGAAGATCTAGATATGGGGGATCATAAAGTCCTTATTCTCTCTTTTTTGTTAGGATTGAGCCAAACTTGTTCTCTCCGATCCACATTTTCGTAGTCTCCAGGCTCTGGGAAGAACCTCGGTGACATCACTTGGACAGCCTGGGCAGAGATGTGAGTATCATCAACTCACGGATGAACTGGCAATGTCCCAGTGTTCAGCAAAGCAGATGTTTCAACTGCAGGAAGTCTAGATGATCCACTTCATTACCTCGTTTTGCATTTTTCTTAAATTCCACCTTGGGGTCAGGCTTGAAACTGAAAACTACCAATGGTTGGTTATTTTTCAAAGGTGCAGCAATAGAAATTAAACTTGAGACATAAATGATACACAGTGATATTTAAAGAGAAAAAATATGTTCTTGTTTGGATATCACTTCTGGAATTCGTGCTTGTGAAGAAAAAACATGTGATCTTAGTTTTGTTGATTAGAAAGATTTGGTGTTATAGGAATGACTATGTGTTAATGACTATATGTTAATGTGTAAAAGCAAAAAGTTGAAGTTGGAGTGTGTTTATCTTGTACTCTGCTAGGAAAAGTCAATGCTCCCTTTTCTTTCTTTTTCTCTTACCCTTTATATCTCACACCCACTTTTCCCCATTCCCTTTCCCTCCCTCAATTTTCTATGTATTTTATGTAATAAAATAAAAATGTTAAAGATGAGTTGTAAAATAAATGATACACAGTGATATATAGTCACTCCGTTAAATGTTCTGTTTTTATTTCCAACTTATGGAAGAGGAATTGTATGTCATTCAAAGATTGTTCTGACCGGAGTGACCAATGCAGTAAGTGTAGGTGTTCTTATTTTTTATCTTAGAATATTGGTCCTCCAGAGTCCAGAAAATGCCCATTTCGCCCTGTGGAAAATTCTTAAGAGAGAATTAAGAGAGCTAAAGCTCATTGAATAACAAGGCTGAAATAGTCATTATTTTGGCAGCCTTTTAGAATGTGGAAAAATCACTTTGGGACCAGAGAAGTTGAATGTGGAATTGAAGTCACAATCTGTTCATTCAGGAAAAAGAAAACCAATGTCTGAACTATGTTTTAGCCTTTGTAGATGACTTGTGCAAATCCAAATTTTAAGACAATCCTGTAGATATATAAAAACATGGCAATGGATAAAATGAATTACCTTTGTCTCTGTTTTTAGTAAATGTACAAGCAGATATAGGCTGCAGCAATGTTACTTTCCTGCCATCACTATTGGCATTGTTATTTCTGGTGTACTTCTTTCAGTCCCATAGAAACCCGTCTTTCTTCCCCCTCAAACTGAAAGCATATAGCTACTTCAATTATATTATATTAAATATACTTAATATATACAGGTGAAACTCAAAAAATTAGAATATCGTGCAAAAGTTCATTTATTTCAGTAATGCAACTTAAAAGGTTAAACTAATATATGGGATAGACTCATTACATGCAAAGCAAGATAGTTCAAGCCGTGATTTGTTATAGTTGTGATGATTATGGCTTACAGCTCATGAAAACCCCAAATCCAGAAAATTAGAATATTACATGCAATCAATAAAACAAGGATTGTACATAGAACAATATCAGACTCTGAAAAGTATAAGCATGCATATATACTCAGTACTTGGTTTGGGCCCCTTTTGCAGCAATGACTGCCTCAATGTGCCGTGGCATGGAAGCTATCAGCCTGTGGCACTGCTGAGGTGTTATGGAAGACCAGGGTGGTTCAATAGCGGCCTTCAGCTCTTCTGCATTGTTCAATCTCATGTCTCTCATCCAGAACCAGCCCTAAGATAAATTAATTATGCTAATAAGTAAGAGGGATAAAATAATTGTATTTTTGTATATGTTGATTGTAATGAAATCAGATTGTATGCACAAAGAAGGAAAGATTTGGCACTACCCAAATGGAAGAATCAATCATTGGTGAAAGTTGATGAAAGTTGGTGAAATTGATGGAAGTTGGGGAAAATTCACTTAGAAGATCCTAAACTGAGGCATATCTTGTTGCTTACAAATCTCTTATTTTAATGAACATTTCAAAGAAAGATATTAAACTGAAACATGAATTAATGATTAAGTTGCATGTCACTTACTGGAACATAGACTGGAAAAATATTTTCCATTTTTAATATGGATAATCATCAGATTATGCAGGGATAATACAAAAATGTGGGTTATTTTAGCTACGCCAGCAACTACAAATCTCCTGATTACCCTATCTGGCTTGCCAGTTTGTATCCAGATACCACTCCTTATTCTATCATAGCCAGCTGACTTTCTGTGCATATTTATCAAGGGCGTGCATTCTACAGTAATGTCACACAGCCAAACTTGCTGCCTAAATGGTGTATCTCTTACCTTCCTACATTTTACATACTTACATCTTCTGGTAAGACTAGGAGTAATAGCCAAGTGACATCACAAATGTCTAAAAACCAGGATCTAATTCTTATAGAAGTCTAGATTGCATAAAATTCAAGGAGTGATGGGGAAGAGATATCCTCCAAACTCAGTATGGGAAGAAATAAACATGGCATACCAGTAAAGTTCCCACATCATGGGAAATTTGTGTGTGTGTATATGTGTGTTTTCAAGCATTCAGTCAAGAATTTACAACATATACAACATATACCAAACTTCCTCAAGCAGCATTGGAAAATATATTTGCTTTCTTGGAAGATTTTTGCTTTCTTGGAGGTAGCAGGAAATCCAGAAAGTGGTATGGCCCTTATTATAGGAATTTATATGAAGCAAACAGAATGATTATGGGGTAGTTCAATTTCTTTCAATAGCATCCAGAAACTTTAAATATGGATCACTCTACACAGAATGCCCAATTAAATCATAGCAAGGTACTTTCCTTTAAGCAAATACTGTATTTAAAATAATTGCTAGCCAGCCAGGTGCACCCAGAAGTTCACATGGGTAGCATGGAGCTGAAATGTAGTTTCTAATTTATTTATGTTCTTTAGATGCTGCCTGTCTGTCTGTCTATAGCTATACTGTGCTTTCCATTTATACAACTGCCTGTATTTATTTTCAAAGTCTCTTCCACCCATCTATTTATTTTTTTCAAAATTACAAACATTCATGATACCTTTCTTCACTATATGATGGAGGAAATGCAGTTCCAGACTGGCTGCTGGAAAAGGACAGAGTTTACCCAGAATCTTGCTATTGCCATGTTAAGTTATTTCCTATGTGAATAACCATAACTCTCCACTGCTAAACTAAGCTACTCTTTCTAAATATTTAGAACATACAACCCATATAAAATTCCAGGAAGTAGAGAAAAAAAGATGTTCAGGAAAAATACTAGTGTGAACTTCAGGAACTGTATCTTAACAAATTAAAAATAGGTTTTTTAAAATGTAGAAGACTGATAAATGTTTTGAAGCTTTTAAATATACTTGAGTGATTATACAGAACACAAGATAGACATGATTCTGCCTTTAGAAACAGAGAAAACCAAGCCTTCATAGAATTAAAAAATAAAACAAAAATAAAAAATAGACCAAAAATTATCTGCAGATAGGATTTCAAAAATAACTGGTATTTCAATATATAATAATGACTATTATTATAGGCTAAATTTGAGGTCTTGGTTGGATAATTCGTTCCTCCCTCCCTGCTTTTATCTGAAAATATTCAGAAAATTTAAAAAAATTGAAGAGTTACAGAATAGCTCAAGATAAAGTTGTTTTAGAGGCACTGCTATGGCTGATAGGCTCAGGACCCACTAACAGTCTAGATGTAATGCAGGAAAGTAGGAAGTACTGTAGGAAATAACTGGAAGGTAATGTTGGAAAGTAATGTAGAAAACTGGAAGTAATGTAGGAAAATGAGGTTTAGTGACTGGATGAATAAACCACACAGTGATATCAGTATTGGAAAAGACAACCTATTTTAAAAATAACAAATGAAGAATGCAATGAGGTTTTAATTTCCAAGATTCAGATAAACAAAAAAAAGTGAATCTCTTGCCTCATAAACAATATAGAGAAAACTTCCATTTTGTATCCATGTTCATCAGTAACCACACAAATCAGATTACTTAATACAACTCTATATGAAACCAAATTAAAATAACACCTATGTAAACAATGTAACTATTTTAAACAGAGGCTAAATATTATGGTTTGAAAGAACTTTCTCGAACTACCAGCCCTTGGGGTTGTAATTTGTAACTGGTTGGAAATTCTGAGGTTTGTAATCTGAAGGTCTTCGGAGGACACCAAGCTGAAGAAGGGCAGTTTAAAGTGTAAAGTTATTTTATGTTTGGATTTCTACAAATAGTCAATAAGCCATTTAATAATGTCATGAGAATATATGTGTATGGTAAATACACGCAATACACAGTTCTTTAAGTGTTTATTTCTCTAATGTTAATGAGCTTGATGAGTGTTTATAGGATTTGAGAATACCAAAAGACAGAAATAGACAGTAATAGATCAACTTCTGCAAATTATTTTGTTTGTACCTGCATAGATACTGATTTTCTAAAAAGAGCTATTGCAGATTTTATTCAGATCACTTGAGAAGTCATTAGTTTATATTGCATAATATCAGGGTGGATACTATGATATCTACCATAGTATAGTACACTATGGTATAAATCACCACATAGGAATATGACTGCTTGGTATAAAAGAAGATACTGTGTATTGTACAGATAGTCTGGTAGACAAGATATTAAAAAAACTCAATAGCTGTATCGTCAAGTGGAAAGCACATGTTCTGGAAGAAACATTTCAAGGCTAGTTTCTAAGGTAACATTTAAAAATAAGATCTGTTTTTCAGAGGACCAAGCTGAATAGCACAAGAAAACTAAATGGAAGAGAAGGTGGTTTGGCATAAAAGAATTTAGATTGGAAGCATTAAGACATTCTAGATTTGATATCCATTTATTAATGTTTTGTCCATATATTCTACATTTTCAATAAATTCTGAAGTATTCAATACCATACTGCTGAGATAATGAAACAGTTAATGCTGAAAATGCTTGTGAATACATACAATATTTACTTTCTATTGCAAATGAATGCTATATAGCTTTTTTAAGATGACCACCTTTTGTTATAGTGTCTATAACTAGGTTTTGTGCTACAGAGATGGAAGATGTATTGTACCGTAATGCAACAGAATAGTTAATAACTAAAGAATTATTTCTAACATGGAATCTACAATTTCCCACAAGGTCCCAGAAAGAGAAGATGAAACTAAAATACACTGCTGTTTCATTTTCTTCAAGTAACAACACTTTCTGAACTGATGAAAATATGAAGCAAATAAGAAAGACAATTTTTTTTAATGGAATTCCCTCTCCTGGTTCTACAAATATACAGCAGCCATTGCTACAAATGGTTTTTCAGTGGCTGGATAAATAAATCACACAGTGATGTCAATAATGGAAAGGTGAATATATTTGCTCTTTTATTATACAAATTCTACATTTTTCTGGAGCAGTAGTTTCTTTCAATGAATCCAGCGATGTTCTTTTGTTTTAATATGTACATCAGTTTGAATGCCTCAGTTATATTTTTTCTTCTTCTTTGATCCCATATTTATAAGTTTTCAAATACTGCTGAAAGAACAGCATGATGTCCAGGATAATGTACACGTGTAACTAAGGCCAACCTTATGCATACACTGTATGAATCAAACACTGTTTTAACTGAAAAGTCAGGGTGCTTGGGTCAGAGAAATAATGCTGTCTTCAATCTCTGAAAGTTTCTTCAACATTTCATTCAATTCAGTCTCATCAAATTCCATGGTCAAAAGCTCAGATTCCTACAATAAAAAGGAAGAAAAACAATAGGTTTAGATACAGTAACTTTTTAACGTGAAAATGAAATCAACACTCTATTCAATTAATGATGTTCCCTGCCTAAAATCATATTTTGCATGCTTTTGTTTTATTATTAAATCTGTTTGCTGTCCATCTCGCTTTTATGGACATTAGAGTAATATACACACAACTACACTTTTATAGACTTCCTGAAGTTGCAGCACCTGGTTTCTCAACTAAATGGTACACTTGGTGCATCATGTGCTCTGCCAAGTAGCATCTTGAGTATCTTGCATTCTGAGAACAGAATGTCCTTATTTTTATACTTTCCACATTCAGCAATGCTTCTCTTAAGAATAAAAATATGATAAAAATGCTTGCATATTTGCCATAAACTCCTTGTTACGTTGCTATTCTTAGCCAGGCCTCCTAAACATAATTTTTGTTTTTGAAAATGTTATCGAAGTCCAGTAAACATCCCAACATTCTCCGCTTGAATATAAATTGTATAGCTTGACAACTTCCAAGATTTCTTTTAGGGAATGTGTTCTCTATTAGTATAATTTTACTTTAGTCAGCCTAGATAAATTTGCTATCAATCAAGTGCTAGTAGAACAGTCAAAAGTCAAACCAGAAAGCTTGCAAATTATTTCAGAATACGTTGTGTGATGGTTTGAATAATATGTGGAAGAAACAATTGATCTTTATATTGCCCAATATTTATTTCTTATTCTTACTAAGAGAGATAAATACATCTGTAACAATAGTTATAGAACTATTATGTACTGGTAGTTGATTATTTGTTTTTCTTTGAATAGTACTATTTTAATGGGTTTGGAATTTTTTTCCAAAATTCTTTTTTGTGTGTGTATTGTTCACCTCCGGAGTTATATACATAAGATGGGCAGTTGTATAAATTTTCTAAATAAGTGAACAAAGAATGTGCAAGTATCCTGGCCCATTCAAAACAAAATTTGTAGAAAGGCAAGAACAAGTTATTTGCGCATCAAATCTAAATGATACAAATATTGTGTCTGATCATAGAAATGTATAAATTTCTCTGGATGGACTTGTTTTCAGCTGTATAATATATAATGTATAGTCAAAATTTAACAAAGAGACAAAAACAACAAAACCCTGGGCTGCTTTTCTTTAGTAAACAAAAAAACCCCAAATCCTTTATAAATCACACACAAACCACTCAATCATAATGAGCATCTTCCTCAAATAATATGGTTGTTTGGTTTCAGTGGAGCATGCTTCATGAACCCAATTGTTGCGACTTATAAACAATGATTTATAGATTAATGTATTGTGTGAATCTGGCTAAGGCTTATTCAAAAGCCGATGGTTAAAAAACAATGATTTATAGTGCAACGATTTATACTGCAAGATGTGCAATAGCAAACATGAATTCTTGTTTATAGGGTTCATGACAGTGAGACCTTGCATGAGAATCCCTGAAGTGAGCTAGATAGGAAGCTGGATGGATTCACCTCTATCTCTTTATCCTTTTAAAGTCAGGGAAAATAGCTGAAACAATTCAAGCTTTATTTATTAGAGACAGAGAATGCTTTTGAAAGCTGCATGATGGACAGCAAAACAACAGTTGCAATTTCTTCCTTTACTTTCTTACAGGCTTAGGATGCTACATAACTAGCAAGAAGTATAAAAGACATAGGAGCTCTGCTGGAAAATAAAAGGAGGCAATGTTACAGAAGAATGCCATCAGAGCCACTGGGAATCAAGCAGCATACAAATTAAATACATATATACACACATACTGTACATCTGCATTCATGCTGGTTACTGTGCTGACAGATCAATCTGCAGTTTGTACGATGCTATGAGAGTGGAAAACACTCTTGCTATTGCCCCTATTAGCTGCCTAGGTGTAAAGAATAAAAGAGGGAAGGAGGAAGTAGTAAACAACCTTTTTGTCAGGGGTATTAAGTGTATAGTTGGAACTGATAGGTAGTAGTTAGCAGTTTGGTGATTTTCCTGCACATTTGAGTCTCATCTTCTTGTAAAGACTGAAATCAGCTGCTCAGGCCAGGTAGAACTATTGTGTAAGATCAAATGAGGGGGTTGCAATCTCAATTTTGGGAAACAAGTGATGTAAAGTCCTTCTGCTGGAAGGAGCAGATGGAAAAGGTTTAGGATTTGACTCTGGGCAAACACACAAACATCATGCAATTTGATCACTAAGCAAAATGTGATGGTGATGGACTTAAGTCATTTTTGCTGCGGTTGTTGAGAGAATCACTTGAGGTTGGTTAAGTGAGACATTACACAACCGTAACCTACTTCTCCATTGACTCTGCTTGTTGGAATCAGGTATGAAGTTCACAAATAGCAATCATGTGACCATAAGATGCTGCAATGGTGATAAACACACACCAATTGTGAAGCACCTGAATGCCAATCATGACTGGAATGATGGTTGTAAATGTGTGGACCAATTGTAAAGGTACTTTTTCAGTGGTGTCATAAATTCGAATGGTGATTAAATAGGTCAGTCATTAAACAAGGTCTATCTATAAGCAGATCTTGTGTGTGTGTGTGTGTGTGTGTGTGTGTATTCCTACATGTGCAAATAAAAATACCTTACAGTATCAAATTTGTGACACTTCTCCTGTTAAGTAGTCACTGATGTAAGGTTGAGTTTCAGTAGAATGAAGACTTATCACTGTCCCATAGGCTATAATTGGCTTTAAGGAAAAAATGTGTGTTCTATACTCGGTGGTTGCTCTAGGTTCAGAACAGATGAAACCAATGAGATGGTGTTTCTTAGTTGTCTACCGAGTTAAAAAATGCATAATGCCAATGGAATTCTTCATTTACTAGTTTTTATAGTATACTATATTGATAAGCCCTATCTGCTTCAGCAGAGTCAGGTATGTTTCTTATCAAAACCTTCAAAATGGAACTCTCTTGCCAAGTTTCTTACACTCCCATATTTTTCCAATGACATTTAACAGTTTTCAAAAAGAACAAAGACACCCTTTGGTTAATCCTATTTTAAAGACTGGTACTTCTCTATTCCTTGATGCTCCAATCCTACACAACAGTAGTTCCTCCACTTTGTAAGAGGCCCAGATTCACATTTAACAGAAAAAGTGTGAAATAACTTTCATTGCATCCTTTCTTTCATTTCTCATTTCCAAAATGTTCTTACTAATGTTGATAAAATAGCAACTAAGGTAGGGCATGTTTTAACATGTAATACCAATTCTGGATGATATTTATTTTGCTTGATCTTATTATGTTTTTTGTTACTAGAAATCCAAAAGGCTGCAATGTAGCTAAAATAATTTTCAGTACTTTGGTATGCCAGTGACAAAATCCACCTGCATTCTGTTCCAAACCTCTCTTTTCTTTGGTTTCCTAAGCTTCTCTGGATTAATCCTAAAGCTTGAACTGGTTACTAGCTTTCCTCCAAATGGTGAGAAATGCAAAGTCATCATGTGATCTGTGGGTTCTGAGATCTGGCAGCAGTACAGCTGGTATCTGGAAAATACTGCATCTAGAATTAGTAGCCTGGGGGAAGTCAGCTGCTGAGTTTCAATATGGTCATGTGTGATATTTTCATATTAATGCTAAAGAAAATAACGCTCAAGTTCTGTTATTTGAAATCCATATACTCAGTACCTCTAGAATTTAATAGCATAAAGTAGAGGTTGTATTACAAGAAGCCTGAAAGGTAACACTCCTAACTGGATTCTTTTAATGATGCAATTAAGTGGTAGAGTTTAGGACTGCATTGTATCATCTTGTAATGCGAGTATTTATAAACCTTAGGCAAACAATTGTTTAGGACGGTAGGCAATGAGGCACATGAAAGAGGATCTGCAGACATGATATTGGTATACATAGGGCTTCAGAAAGAAGTCCTGTTGATATAAATGCTTTTGTTGATAGCAGCTGAAATATATCTTGTAGGGGTACAAATCTAAGACAGTTAAGTTACTTTTCTCTGTCCTCTCTATAAAAGTGTTATGTATTTTAGCTTTAATTGCAGGGGTCTTTCTGATTATGTCCTATGACAAATTTGAAAAAAAAAAAAAGGTAGTGTTCTACATTTTGGAAAATAGGTTGCTTTCCTTTAGGTGTAAAAAAATATCCAGCTATTTAAATAGGGCTTTAGGTAACTAGTTGCTGTTTAGCTAAGATTTTTTTCACCCTATAGGCTTGCCTAGAATCGATAAGCTATGGCTTTAAATCCACGTGGATGACAAAAACAAATACATAACTATTAAAAATGATACAGTATCACCCCCTTTGTAATAAATACAAGAAATAAAGGATATGCAAGTAATCTTTGATGTATAACCACAATTGAGCCTGTAGTTTCTGTTATTAAGCGAGACAGTTGTTAAGTAAGTTTTGCCCCATTTTTCTTGCCACAATTAAATGAACCTGGCTCTCCTATTGACTTTGCTTGTCAGAAGGTTGCAAAAGGTGAGCATATGACTCTGGGACACTGCAACCATCATAAATATGAGTCAGTTGACAAGTGTCCAAATGTTGACTACGCAACCATGGCAGCAGTGGGATCCTGCCTGTTCCACTACTGGTTCGGTGATCACGTGCACGGGCTCCTAACGTGCCCGTGCAGCTTTCTGCACACCAGCTGAGGCCTGCAGTGCCAATCAGCTGAGGGTGGGGGGATCCTGCACTTTTCTCTTCTTTCTCCTCTCAGCTGATTGTCAGGAGGCTTTTTTTACTCCTGGTTTGGCCGAACTGGTCACATACTGAACCATGGGGATGCTGCAACAGTCGTAAGTGTGAAAAATGGTCATTAGGTTACTGTTTTGAGTGCCATAGTAACTTCAAACAACCACTAAATGAATTGTTGTAAGTCTAAATGAATTGTTGTAGATGCTTTCTGACAATTTATTATTCTTGCTTTATCTTAAGTGATAGACTAATGAAGACAAACTAGAATCATCAATAACCCAGATTGAGTCTTTCATATGAAATCTCAAGTAAGAGAGATTAG